ACTTTCGTCTGCTGTTGACAAAACTTATTCTGATACTGGAAAACTTTTTGCATACTTCCAGATCTTACGAGAACATCTTGTCCAGTAAAAAAAAAAGATATATATAACGGTAAAAAATATTGGAAAGAAAACCTCTGAACTGATAAAAATGGCCGTGATATTACGGAGCCATTTTTGTCGCATCAGTCCAAAACACCCGTTGTGTAATTTACGTTCAGTGAGCAATTACATCACAGTTTTGGCCTGTTAATAAAATATTACTGGCTGTTTCGCTACACGGAGCTGAGGTCACAGGATTCAATAAAAGAGTTTGAAGTCTCGTTGGTGAAAAATTCAAGTTTTCTTGAGGATTTTCCACGTATATTTGTCGCAGTTTTTTCTGCGGACTTCTCAAATGAAAGGTAAGGTGATGTTGACCCTCTTCTGCTTGTTTTATTCGCTCGTTTTGATCCTATGTCTAGTATGTGTGCGAGGCAAATATGGAACAGGAAACCTGGCGAGTATATTTGGCTACACGGGTTTAATTCTTACTCTTGGGCGCCATGTTCTTCGCTAAGATGGTCAGAGTTTGCAAAATTAAACCTGATCGAACATTTTGAAGTTTTCTTCGTGCACTTTGATAATAAAGTGTTTCAAGCGCTTATCGCATGGCTTTGGAAAGTTTCCCTAGCTAGTCTTGTGGTGGTACTATTGTTTATTGAATTGCCGGAACAAAACACAGCAATGAATCATTCATGTTTGGCAGGTTAATCATAACATGTTCAGATGCAATGAGAATCAAAAACAAGAATCTCTCCGAAATAAATTTAAAACTACTTTTTTTTGTTACAGCACCAAATAATTCAACCCCCAGTTATGTCAAGAGAAGATTTTTGTTTGATCTTTCTTTGTGCTAAAACTTGCATCTTTATAAAAAAAAAAAAAAAAAAGTACGTACTGTTTCGCTTGGTAATCTAATTTAAGCTCGGCTTAGTCTGTATCATGATCACTTGTGTGATCAAGGAGCAAGCCAGTTGTCAAACTCCGCAGCAGAGTCAAACACAATTGGCCGTCAACTTCAAATCCATGCCATACGTTTATATTTTTTCTTAAGAATAAACTTGTGATCAAAATGCAAATCTTCTTTGCAGCCAATGTTATGATATACCGGGAAAACGATTCAGTTGTATTCATAGTGTAGACAGTGGGATTGTCACCGCTCGAATTAACGAATCGAAACTTTCCAACACTACACAAAAATATTTCGATTTAAGGCCGGTTTGAAATAAACTTGTGCTAACCTGTTGGGAGAGGCTCCCCAGAATTTGCTAATCTAACGGTTTCTAAAATGAGGAAATTTCGTAAAAGTACCGATAAAAATCCAATGAAACCGTGAAATCGATCGAAATATATCTTGTTAACTAAACCGTTATATAGGTTAAACGGAAATTTGAAGCCAAGGCTATCTAAAATATTTTGGCTTTAATAAATTGCATGACCTGGGAATTTGTTGAGAAGATTTTTTTATGCCAATGTTTCTCGGCGCAAATAAGTCAGACGTCAGATAGTCTAGGAAAATTTCCGTTAAAGAAACAGTGGAAAGTTTAACCGGCTAAGAAGATATTCTAGCTTTTCCATATTTACTTGTCATGATATCATTACTCTGACACACTAAGGCTTATTTCACTAATTCAAAGTGGTAAAGTTGTCGCCCTTTCAAAATCCAATCAGACGTGGCTAAACCCAACTGAAATCATTGTCTTCTGAAAGCCATTCAAGTTTCGTGTAATACCGCTCGAAATTAACACATGCTGTCCGCAATTCACGTGAACAAGTTACAACTTGCAATATAAACTACTGAAATGTGGAAGTTACAGAGTTGGAATCTTAGCAAGTAACCAGAAATTATAAAAGACCTTGGAGAATCTTGCGAAGCTAAAATTTTAGTACCATTTATCATTAGCCAATTTTAAAGGGATTTTACATGCTTTCAAGGAAACCAAATATTGCAATGGCTAAAAATATCAACCAATACATAGTTTGCTGTTTGTTTGATCAGTTCCACACTTTAGAAATGAAAGCAAGCTTAAGTTATGAAGGTCAATTAGGGCGTGGTCAATGAGATCGAAGATAGATCATATAGTCAAACCTGGGTGGCCGTTATGGGGAGTTAGAGGGTGTGACATTTTTTTATTAAAAAAAAAATGCTTATTGTAGCGTGTAAATGGGTAACAATGAAATATATCAACAAAATTGAAACCAAATAGAAACAGAGGCCAACGGAGTTGTACAGATCACGTTTCGTGACCTTTTCGTGACCTTTTCCCGCGCTTCGCCTCAGCTACCTGTATTTGGCCCGCCAGATTGTTTATTTTATACTATTTTAGTGCTACCCTCTTTAAATAAAGTCTTTACTTACTTACTTACTTACTTACTTACTTA